GTCTTGAAGATGTTCAAATCCACCATCTTCTCGAGATTCAGTGATGGTGGATCTCACTTCATCAATAAGGTCTTTTAGATTTTGCATTGAATTAAGCACAAGGTGGCCACGCCATACCATCCCCAAACAAGTGGTCAGGTCAAAATTTCCAACAGGGAGATTAAGAGCATTCTGCAGAAGACCATGAACACAACTTGGAATGATTGGTCTGTCAAATTGGATGATGCTCTTTGGACATATAGGACTGCTTATAAGACACATTTAGGCACGACCCCCTTTTCATCTAGTATACAGTAAATCATGTCATCTTCCAGTAGAGCTTGAGTACAAGGCAGCATGGGTCATCAAGCTGTTCAACTTCGACATCAAGCCTGCTTCTCGAAGAATTTTGATGCAACTGAATGAGCTAGATGAGATCCATCACATGGCTTATGAGAATTCAAGGATCTACAAAAAAAGAACCAAGGCATACCACGACAAGAGGATCATTCTAAGGAGTTTTGCTGCAAATGACCAGGTTATACTATTCAACTCCCGTTTGAAGCTGTTTCCTGGAAAGCTGAGATCAATATGGTCTGATCCCTTCACCATCAAAGAGGTGAGACCATATGGAGATGTTGTGTTGCTGGACACTAAAAGAGGTGAATTCGTGGTCAATGGTCAGCGCCTATAGCCATATCTTGTCGATACTGAAATCATTGAAGAGGAGATCATTCCTCTTAGTGATGCACATTCAGCCTAAAAGGTAACCAAAATCAAGCTTGTGACTTAAAAGTTAAAATAAGCGCTTGGTGGGAGGCAACACACTGGTAAGTTTTCTTTTATTTTATTTTTCTTTTCTTTGAGTCTATTTTACCTTTCTCTTGATTTATTTTCACACTGAGACAGTGTGAAGTATGTTTGGAGAGGGAATTCTTTGTTTACTAACACTATCTTCTTTCTTTTGGTTTATATTGAGTCATTTTAATGTTTTTTTAGTCAATCCAAGTTATTTTATTTGAGTTAGAACCTTGTTGAGAATTATGAATTTTTCTTGGAACTAACCACATTGCATTAATGTTTGAAGGATCATTAACTACAGCAGTTGATTGCAGATTTTACTAGGTAGAACACTATGAGTAGATCAATCTAACGGAGAAATTTCATGTCTTTGGAGGGTCTGAAGGATCCAAAGTTGACTCTGCACCTAATGAACTTTGATTTTCTTATCTTGGGGCTTGGTATTTTTTTCCAGCACTATCAAGATAAATTAGGTGCAACCTCTGTTTGATCTTCCCTTATAGAAAAAGAGAGTAATATGCTAAGATTAAGAACAGTAGCCTGAGTTCAGTAGAAAGGACTAGGAAGGTAAGCATACACTTATAAACGCGTCTCCTCACAAGGAACACAAAAGTGAGTGGCGCCATTCAGAAGCTATAAAAACAAAAAAAAAATTGATAAAAATTAATAGAAATAACACCCTAGAAAAAAAAAATCGACTAAGGAAAGAGAAAATAAGGAGTTGTACCAAAATTATCGGTATTCAGGAGCTTATAAAGGAAAGAATCTATAATTTTTTTTATTGATACTCTTTCGATGAGACCGCACGCCTAAATGAAATAAAAGGGTCATCAATAGAGAATTCATATTTCTCTAAGGGATATTGAACTGTATTTTGGACGGTTGCTAAGCTTGTGGTAAGTATACTGACATATTATATGATATGTGGGGTTCAAGAGTGTTGATCAATGTGGCGTTCCAGAGAGTTCATAATTTCCTATGTTTTCAAACCTCGCCTTTGTACATAATATTTACTTGAGGACATGCAAAATGTTAAGTCTGGGGGAGGTTATATACTGCATTTTTAAGGCTTTCTAACCCAAGGTTTTCAATAATTTTTCGAGTCAACGTGTGCTTTTAGAGTCTTAAAGTTTTTTATCAAGTCTTTTCAGGTTTTAGGTTGCTTTGAGATAAAAGAAAATCATTTTGGGTGCAAACAAACATATATTGATGCAAAACTATGTAGAGACGCCTAACATTTGGCAATCGTTGAGGCGCTTCCTACCAATGAATCGAGCTGAATTTTAGACAAGAACTTTATCGTTGAGTTAGCTTTCATTTGGAAGTGGTTTGAAGTTGATCCAACAGTGCGATCTAAAGTTATGGTAATTTTCGTAAAGTCATGTTAGTCTAGCATAATATTCTTTCCTAGAGCACCAAAGCGGGGAATGTCAGAACTACAGAATGACCAATCTGGTGCCAGCGAGAATTTTCACAGTTTTCAGCAATTTTCTTTATTTTGACATAAAATAACATAGGACCTATATACACTTATTTTGACCATTGTTGAGACTACCTCTTTTTTTATATCCAAACTTTTTGGCTTTTGCGATTTGTAAGTTTTGATCACTTGTTCAAATCTTTAGATCACTTATTCAAATCCATATCTGAGTAATCTCACAGTTAGATTTAGGATTTCAATAAAAATCATGAATCATTGAATTAGATATAGATAAGGAATTAAACTTGTGGTTTCTTTATTTATTGTTGATATTAAAGCTGAAACTTAATTAGCTATCTGGTTTTTGATATTATGTTGTTTAACACACTAAAAATATTTGTTTCAAAACCTGAAAAAACATAGATGGACAAAACATCATTAGCCAATGAAAACTGATGTTAAAGCACACTATTCAAAGAAAGAGCTAAACGTTAAAAACATATATCTTATTACAAAAACGACATATTTGACTGGAAAACAAACATGATCATTCAATTGATGTTGAAATAAAAAAAGAAGGAATATCCAGTTACCCTCATAAAATGGATTTTCCCACCTACTTGATTTGAACTAGTGACCGAAAGATTTTCTATTAGATAGCTAAGGTCTGAATATGATAAAAGTTTCCACATTCATTGGTAAGTATTGAAAAAGTGTTTGCTCTTATGAATTTTTCAAAAATAATAAAGAACTAGTAAATAATTTTAGAAAAAGAGGAAAATTATTTATTCTTATGAAAAGTTTTCCAACTTACCGGATTTGAACAAGTGATCTAAAGATTTACTGTTAGAAAACTTTTTACACTCCTACGTTCTATCAACCGAACTAAAATCGATCGGATATGATATATGTTTTCATATTTGTTATTGAATATTTAAAATATGGTCACCTTTAAAAATTAATTCCTTTATTTTTCGAAAAAATTAGTGTAAATTTTTAAAAGAAAGTTTTTACTTCAGAATCACATTCATAAACAAGATTGTGGATAATTATAACAAAGAAATTTTTATGATATATGTGGGAAATTTATCATTAAAGAGATTGAGAATTGAATCATTAAGATCATTTTTACATAGAAAGAGCAATGAATACGAGGTAGAATTTGAGAAGCATTAGAATAACATGAATGAAAGAAACTCCGAAAAAAAAAAAAAAAAGAAGAAAGAAACTCCGGCACCTCTCCGGTCATAAGTTATTATTTGGACAAATCCTGCATGAAAGAATAAAATATAAAATTACATCCGATTTCTTCGCATACATATATAGAACAATTATTCTTCTATGTTTCCAGTTAAACAACTTGAAGACAAGTTTCTGATGAAATTTTCAAAATCACATTCTTGGCAGCTGAAAACTACATTCCCCTCCACTGCAAGTTCTTGGAGACAAGCTTAAGTTAGTATTTATCTCTAACTTCTTAGGAATTACAGGAACCTCAGCTCAGAGTTTACCATAGTTCTTGGAGACAAGCTTAAATTACAAATGTTACATGTGCTCGCTTCTTCCAAAGTATATACAACTTTCTGATAAAGAGGATTCTCATTTGTTCAAAGGATGAGTTCTGTCAACAAATGACCAAAATCTTTAATGCTCATCATATATTTTGATACCATCTTTGGGTATTACGAGTAGATTGTGTCGCAGTCTGGCCTATTTACATTTGTTCAATGTCTCGAATCAAGAGTTAATGCTATAAGATTGTCTGAGAGTTACATAAAGACTCGTATTAAGGTGAAACAAAGAAGCTTAGCTATATTAAGGTGAGTGATCATTGACTTATTCATTAAGATTTTAAGATATAAGTATATGTAACCAAGTGAATTAAATTCAAAACCTAAATGAATTTGTAGAAAGAGTTATATCTTCTTGACTGAGGATAATGTAGCTGAAAAAATCCAAAGTTATTCCTCACAACATAAGTGAAAACAAAACTGAGGAGGATTGTTCTTGATCATGAGGAGGATTGTTCTTGATCATTATATGATCATCTTGATTGTTCTCTATCAAAAATCTTTACATGTAAAGAAGCTCCTACATACAGCAAGAAGAAGTCACGCAACTCAAAGAAAGAACTAGACGCTAAAAATCTCTATATTCTTATTACAAAAACGACATATTCAATTTTTTGTTAAAATCAAGAAAACAAATAATTTAGCTTTCATCAAAAATGTATTTCCGACCTACCGGATTCGAACCAGTGACCTAAGGATTTGCTGTTAAGATAACTATTACAGTCCTCCGCTCTACCAACTGAGCTAAGGTCGGATTTGAAATAAGTTTCCACATTCATTATTAAGTAGTTACAAAACAACCTATCTCGAACTTAATTCCTCCCTAATATAACGACACAAGTAAGTGTTAGGAAGAAAAAAAAGACCTTATGATTTTAGCATCCATGTGTGTGTGATTCATCCAAGATTAGAAACTGTGATTACTTGGTTGAACAATTCCCCAAAGAAGCAACACTCCTTGTGGAGCAAAGCTGTCTCAGTGTTACTATTGCTGGTTGAAATCCTGATCGTAGAGGAACAACTGAAGCAACTCTCATGTGTTGTGCGTTTAGGTTGTGAGGCCGAGTCAACGTCATCCTAAGCATTTCTCCATCAAAGACCTGACTAACCATAGTTGCTGGCAATGGAAACACAATCTCAAAGAACTTTAATCAGAGGTTTTATAGCTTTCAATGTAACAGAGAGAACTTTTAGTAAAAAAGTGATTTGATGGTTTTCTTTTTTACCGGTTAAAGGATTGAGCTTGGTGAAGTGGAAGAACTCATCGGCTGAGCAACCGAAGAGAAGAGTCGCTGCTCTATCAAAACATATCACAGTTTTGACTGATGTCTCTGTTGCTATAGACATCTGCTGGATTCAAACAGACACATTCATTATTAAGAAAAGTGATGAAGAGAACGACTACAAAACACAAATTTTGATGTTTTGCTTTCTCAATTCCACAAGCTCACAAATTCAAAAGCAGATCAGAGTCTTAACTGATGTATCTGTAGCTATAGACATCTGTTAGATTAATCAACACACAGATTCAGAAAAGTTGGGACTAAAAAAACAGAAATTTTGAAGTTTCGATTTCTCAATTCCATAGCACAGATAGATTCACTAAAAACTTAAACTTGACAATTGCATTGGAGAAAACACCTAAATTGACAAATTGCTAAATATCTAAATCCCTAACGAAATTGCAAAAGCTTTTCAGCAGAATAAAAGAACACTCCAAAAGAAGAAGAGGGTTCGTACGAGGATCCTGTAGAGCAATTTGGGTTCTTTTGAATTGCAGAACTTGCATAGCGAAGAAGATGAAGAAGAGGAAACGCCACTGTTATAATCTCCGGGAAGCACTCTCTCGCAGCGAGAGCAAACTCTGTAGCAGTAATCGCTGAGATCGACGGCAAGCAACTCGCAGATCACCGTTTGATCGGCGGCTTCCATTTTTAGGGCTTTCTCTGATTTTCCAAAGTTTCCTCCTTTCCGTTCAATTCTCTGAGACAATTGAGCGATTCACAAGATAAGACCCAAATCCCAAAACTTGCGACAAGAAATAAAATAAAAAATGTTTTTCTTTTTACCTTATGACTTACAAAACAGAGAAAGTTACAACTGATAAGCCTAAAAATACGGTTTTATTTATCACAAGATATAGAGAAAGAGGAAGAAGAAGAAGCAGAAATGGCTCCACGAGGAAGAAGATCAGAAGCTATTCTCCAATTTGATTGATCAACAGAGAAACATGTAAAACTAATGAGCTCAAATTGATAGCGAAAATCAAATAAGTCATCTTATTTGCTTTAGAATTCACAAGGAAAGTCTTTACATATGTGTGACTTTGATTGTTGCACATATGATGATCTTTTACATCATTTGATAACGCACAATCCGAGAGAAACCCAACAATTTATAAAATGAACCCTCTCGAGAAGTTTACTTCTTTGAAACATGTAGTTGTTCTTCTTGCTCCTCCTTTAGTGTCCTTGTGATTGTTATCTTCGATGAGTTTCCTCTACTCGAATCCGAAAACTTGTCCATGTAGATTCCAAGGTACGATATAAGCGGATCGGTCCTAGCTTTGTCCACGACAAGCTTCAGTGACCGAGACTTGACTCTCGGAAACCGTATAAGCCTCTTGAACCCAACGGTCGTACCGGTCACAACACTCTCCCACTTCTTGCTTCCAATACTCTGTATCTCGAGATGAAAAGAGGCAACTCTCTGACCCATTTGGATCGGTTCTTGAATCTCCAACACATTGAAACTAACCGGTTCTTGAAACTCAAAACGCAACTCCCACTCCTTCTGCTTCTCTTCTGGAGCCCAATATTTCTCTAACCCTTCTTCCAAAACATTCTCAGGACCAAACTGCGAGCTCTGGTCGCCGCGGACGCTGGTCGAGTTAACCACCGTGGCTTTACGGGCGAGATTGTTCGAGAAAATCGATTTTTTCATCTCGCGGAACTCCTCAAGAACCTTGATGTCTTGTTCAGATATTAGCCCTGAAGTGTTAGGAGGTACATTGAGCAAGAAGAGACAGTTTCTTCCCACAGAGTCGTAGTATATATCCAAGAGCTTAACCGCCGGTTTAGGTGACTCCAACGCGTGCCAGAACCAACCCGGTCTGATCGATACATCACATTCCGCAGGTACCCAATCTTGCCCAAAGCCATCACCTTCCTGTGAATACCTGCAAGATTCAAACAAATTCAACTTGAGAGAAAGAGAATCTACGAAGGTTTGAAACATTTGAGAGAAAGAGAGACTGAACTCACAGAGGATCAGTGTCGCCGATTTTGGCATTGGTTCGGTTAAAAAGTGACCAGCAAGTGGAACCGGCGACTCCAGCTTCGTCACCGATCCACCGGACGTCAGGTCCGGCGTCGGAGAAGATGACGGCGTTGGGTTGAAGCTGGTGGATCAAACTAAACCAAGTGTTGAAGAAATACTCCATATCTTTTTCTCCTTCTCCTTTTGCTCCATCTAACCAAACTTCCTTAATCTCTCCATACCTAAAACGAAAGATTCGAATCTTTTCAAAAATTGGGAACTTGGAATTGGAATTTGAATCAAAACCCATGAGAAAAGGAGCTTACTTAGTTAGTAACTCGGTCATTTGACTCAGATAAAACTCGTTGTACTCTAATGTCTTCCCGTAAGATCCATCGTGCCGATCCCACGGAGAGAGGTAAAGACCGAGTCCGATTCCGGCGGCGGCCGTCGCGGAAGCTAGCTCGGCCACGACGTCGCCGGCCCCGCTTCTCCAGGGACTCGATTTGACGGAGTAATCGGTGTATTCGCTGGGCCAGAGGCAGAATCCGTCGTGGTGTTTCGCCGTGAGGATGACGCGGGAGAAGCCGGAGTCTTTTACGATTTGGACCCATTGGGTCGCGTTGAGATGGGTCGGGTTGAAAACGGACGGGTCGGCTTTTCCGGTGCCCCATTCGGAGTTGGTGAAAGTGTTGGGTCCGAAATGGAGGAACATGGCCATAGATCCGAGCTGCCATTGGAGCTGTTGTGAGGAAGGGAGGGGTAAAATTGGAAGTGGATGTGGTTTTAAGGGTTTAGAAGTTGAGATTTTGAATAGAAAGAAGATTGAGAAGAAGGAGAAGAAGAAGAGGACATCGATTCGAGACATGGGTCTTATAGATTTTAGTGAATTTTCTTTTCTTCTTCTTTGTCTTCTTCAGTTCTTCAATGGAGTCTTGTTGTCTCTTTTGTTTTCCACTAAGTTTTTTTCTAATCTTTTAGCTTGGCTGTAATTAGTTTAACTTTGTCAGAGTTTAATGGAAACTTAATGCAAACGCAATAAATAATACTATGGGACTTAATGCAATTTAAAATTTAAAATGAATGATATAATTGGTGATGACCAAATTTTCTTATAGATAATACTCGTAATTAAATAATGACTATTAGTGAACAATACAGATAGAATTACATAATACTTTCTAATAAGGGTGGGCAAAAAAAAATCCAACCGAACTGAATTAACTCAAACCAACCTAATTCAAACCGAATCAAATCGAATCAAAGTCTATATCAAAATATTTTGGTTGGGATTTTTATTAACCAAATGGTTCGGTTCGGTTTTAAACCAAATCGAATAGTTCGGTTCGGTTTTAAACCAAACCGAAATGAAAATCAATATATTTTCTTAATTATTAATTATTAAATTTCTAATTTTGCTTTTGTTTAAATTTGTGTTGATATTGATTTGTTGCAGGTTTTCATTAGGCTATAAAGGCAAGATAAATACTATGATATGATGAAATTTGGTGTTTTGGTTTTCTTTTTAGTTGAGTATGATTTTGAATTGGAGTGTTTTTTAGTTTTACGAGTTTTGTTGTTTAAAACAGTTTACATTTTTATTTTGATTTCGATGTTATGTTTAGTATTTACGCAAAGTTTTGTTTTGCAATAATAGTATTACCCAAACTAAACAAATCAAATTGAACCATATTTAAACCGAACTGAACCGAAGTTAAACCAAATTAATTTTTGTTAAGTTCGATTAAAATTTTAATATAATCAAACTAACTAAACCGAACCAAACCTGAACCAAAACCATAAATAAACCGAAATGCCAGACTCGGTGATTCAGGAACTATAGTGAGTAGTGAGTAGTGTAATCTCATCTCATTTCAATTCATGAAGTCAATTTCACTCCATAAATTTATATTTAACAAATTTCGATTCAGACATCTAAAACTAAGAAATTAAAATGATAAGATCTTGAAAAAGTAATAATATCTTGATCTGTTTGGTTTTCCACAAATCTTAAATTTTATAATTTGTTCAACTTATATTTCCATAAACATTTTAAAATTATAATTTAACACATACTATAACTTAAAAAATATTTTTACCGTTTATACAAATTAAACTTCGTATCCAAGTTATAAAAGGTTTGTATCGACAACTCTGTATTAATGTACACCTTGTACGACGTCATCAAGCACAAGGTCATAAGAAATAAATCTTTTACTTTGGCTTTGATTTATATGGAATATATCCATCATATATTTTTTTCTCGTAATTAAAATTATGAAAGACTAATATAAAAGCATCTTTTCAATACCAAATTAGCGCTTTTAAATGGGATTTTTGCGATTCTACGTTCTAAAGATAACACATTAAGTTGAGTATTACATGCATGTTAGGTCAAGATGTCTAAGATAATTTAATTCCATTTGTTACTAAACAAAACTCACACATTATCATACTCCTTCATATATGCTAAGTTTGTAACATTTCAATAAATAAATATCTGACATGGATTTTTTTTTTAAATAAAAAAATCGAAGAAAAAAGCTGAGTAAGGAAGAGGAGAGAGTAGCAAAAAGTGTACGTACGGACTCTGACCATATAACCTCCCACACTCTCTCTCGCCGCCTCTCTCATGCAGTTTTCGTCGTCTTCTAATTTTCCCCTTCTCTTGAATCTTCAGAAAAATTCTCCAGAAAGCTCGAATCTCGTTTCAGGTTCAGCCACTCTCACAATTTCGTTTTCTCTCTGTCTCGTTTTTTTTTTTTTCTTTTGCAAGCGATTCAAACATACGTTCGGATTTTGATTTTTTTTTCTCTTTCTGTTTCGTTGTTTTGGATTTTTTTTCAGCTGTTTTCAGAAGAATATGGAGATGAAAATGGAGAGTCCGGTGTGTTTTTGTGAGCACGGAGGCGCGGAGAAGAAGAAGGGACAGAATACGTCTCCGGTTACCGTCGTCCTCAAGGTTGATTTCCACTGCGATGGCTGTATCGCGAAGATCGTCGGACTAGCTCGCCGTTTGGAAGGTGAGAACCCTAGAAATCGAAATCGATATCGATACTCATGATTATTCCAAAAATCTACAGTATCGCGTCACGTTTCTGAATATAATCTGTTGCACTGTCAAATTTTTCCGTCTCGAGTTTTCCCAAAATCTTCAATGTTTGATGATTTATCCCCTTTTCTGGATCTATTTCCAGAATCTCGCTTCGTGCATACATCTGTTTCTGCCATTTAAACGCAGCGATTGTGAATAATTTGTAATCTCTAGTGTTTACGATTTGTGTGGGTCTTTTGTTTCATCACTGATTTCTCCATAATTTTATCAGGAATCTTAGATGATAACAGGTTCATGATCTGTTGGTCTTACATCTGTTTCTGCCATTTAAACGCAGCGATTGTGAAGAATTTGTAATCTCTGCTGTTTACGATTTGTGTGGGTCTTAGTTCCATGACTGATTTCTCCAGAATTTTCCAGGAATCTTAGATGATTACAGGATCATGCATCATCTGTTGGTGTTAACAAGTTGCAATCGATCTCTCATACACTCGTTTACATTTTTTCTGCAATTGTTTCAGGTGTTGAAACAGTGAGAGCAGATCCTCTTTCGAGCAAACTGACTCTCATTGGATTCATTGATCCAGTGAAGGTTGCAGAGAATCTTCAGAAGGAGAGCAAGAAGAAGATCGAGCTGATATCTCCAAAAGCAAAGAAGGAACCAAAAGGAAACGATGACACCAAAGCTGATCACATCACGAACACTACGGTATATGCTCTAATTCATTCAACTCGAATTACATTCATTAGCAATGCGACTTTAGACTCGATTGATGATTAGCGAGTATGTAAGTCCGTGATATCAAGAATTTGATGTCTCTCACAATTTACTTGCGTCTTAAGCAATGAGTAAAGAGAACTCTTATTTGTCTTTCTTCGTTAGGTTGCTGTAACCACAGTGATGCTGAAGCTGAACTGTGCTTGTGACGGTTGCATCAAGAAGATTCATAAGACTGTATCTAAGACAAAAGGTCACACTTCTATCATTTCCGCAAAGAATCATCGTCTCTGCTTTTTTCCATCGTTTTGTGTTTTGTGTTTTGTGGTGTTGATGACTCATATACAAACCTGCTTTGATGTTGTTAACAGGTGTTTTCCAGGTTCATTTGGACAAGAATAAGGAAGTAGCAACTGTCATGGGGACAATGGAAGTGAATTCTCTCACGGATAATATCCAGAGGAAGCTGAATAAGAGCCTTCACATCTTGCCTGAGAAGAAGGAAAAGAAGAAAGACACAACCACCGAAGTCGGGTCGGGTCTACCATACTATGGCTGCCATTACGGGCCTGGGCCTTATGGGTTTATGGAAGGCCCATTTACGGGGTTTTTCAGCGAGGAGGATCAGAGCGGTTGCTCCGTTATGTGATTTTGGAGGCGACAAAAGGTCTAGGAGTATAATACCACAACATATTATATAATGGATGCATATATAACTAATAGGAAACAGAAAAAGAAAAGAAAAACTAAAGTCAGGAGAAATATATATATATATATATATTGTCGTGATGGTCTATAAGATATTAAGACATCATATTATATGAGTAAATGCAGTATTTTCCTTTTCAGAGATAGTACAATACATTCGAGTGAAGGTTTCACTTTTATATATCGTAATTTAAGTCGTATATTATTCAAAAGACTGTTCTTAATTTATATGATGAGCAAAAAAAAAAAAAAATATTGCAAAAAAGAAAGATATCACCATCAAAACTTATGCAAATATGATGTTCAAGCAGAATTTTGACATAAGAGTTTCTTCGCCTTTTTCCATTTGCTTTTGAGCTCTGTGGGCTGCTTTAACAAGCACATTACAGACTATTTTTTCTTTAAAAGTTAGACATTTAATACCCTTAATTGTTGGTAAAAATATTTTAACAATTCAATGAAAATATGCAGTTCAAATGTTTTGCGATTTGTTTGGCGTTCTAGTTCAATGTTGGATTGGTTTATCTATTAGAAGTAGATTTCCTACGTGTCGCTCCCACGTTCGCTCTCAGCATATTTTAGTCGTCTTGTTCTTATTATATTATTAATGAAAACCGTAATCTAATTATCAGTTTGGTATTATTGATTTTGATTTTGATTTTAGGCCGTAACTCACAAAATTATTCTTTGTAAACCCTAAATTATTACGTGTAAACCTTAAATATATTTTCATATAAATAGTGTAATCCTCTCTAGCCACTATTTATTTTTTTTCAACCGTATGTTTAGTTTCGTTCATATAGATTTTTCTGTAGGTTTAGTTTAGTTCATGCATATTATAGTTTGTTTGTTTGTTTGTTTTTGTTATATTTGGTGTATGAGGCTGATTTTGTGGGTTTTTGTTTTATAATATATGCAGAAAGGATATTCAACAAACGCTAGCTCTAAAAGATCAAACAAAAGGTATGTTTTTTTATCATTATGTTTCTCCTTCACATCGGGCTTCAGATGACATGATATTTACGATTATTGGTAAGAATCGAAACCCTCTTCTTCTCCTTTTGATCCAAACAAGGATGAACACAAATTTTTGGTAAGAATCGAAACCCTCTTCGTCGTCGTGTTCTTTTTTTCTTATTTTGTTATTGATTCACGTTATTGATCGATCAGTGTAACTTAGACCCTTCCCTTCTCTCTACACCTACGCTCTCTTTCTTCCACGAGTACCTCAAGAGGTAGTACTTTTCATCTTCTCTAACTTCGTTTGCTTTGATCTAATTGTTTTTTTATTTTGCTAGGGTTGAAGTTGTAGGAGGAGAAGAAAAAAAGAGGAAGATGTGAGGAGTGGATCGAAAGGTTATGGATGAGATCATTACTCTCACCATATATTGCCAACTATTAAAGGTATACGTATATCTATCTATTGGTTTTAGTCGTTACGCGATGTTAATGTTATTTTCATTTTTTGGTCTAGATTAAATTGCATTAGCTGATTATTAGCTATAGTGGATTTTCAATAATGATTGTCCGTAATTTTAGTATTGAGTTATTGAAGTTTCAGAATCTTCTTGTTTTTCTTTGAATGTGTATGATAATTGATTTGTTTCTCATGATTTTTTGATGGTTGATAACTTAGTTTCCTGTCTGCTCTGTTCTATCTATTCGTGAAGATGAATTAACTGCTGCCTTTGTGAAATCAGGTATACTGGTCAACTCTACAACTAGAGAATTATGAGATGTGTGGCATGCCCCAACTGGTTTAGTGTTGCAACTGCAAATTCCAGCCAGGTTTGTTTGTGTTTTTTTTTTATATTTTGGATTTGATTTAAAAGTTTGTATGTTATTGAGTTATAACTAATGAAATATATATTTTGATTATTGGTTATGTATTAATATATTCATGCTTTTTGTGAGGTTGCTTTGTGATTTGCAGATGCATCATAAATCATGCCACAGGATTGCTAAGTGGTTCTTTGAACATGGGGAATCATAGTTAAAGCTGTCTCTAACTCATCTTCTTCTATGGTATAAGTATATTTTCTCATTATTTTTAGATTTACTTTTTAATATTTGCAATCGAGTTTAGGTCTTAGCTGTTTGTTCCATCTTTGTTAATTTATACACCAGTTGATCTCACGCCCCAGTTTGCCGGTGTTTTATTTGCAGAGGTGTGAGGTAATGCTCAATGATCGCGATAACATCTGCTGTGTGCTTAACTGAGAGGTTTGTATTTTGTTGTCGTAGGCAGATATTTGTTCTATCATCTTTGTCTAACTTTTTTGCACATTCGCTGAATTAATCTATTAAAATAGATTCTGGCATTCTATGGAAATCTCCTGTTGTTTGATTTTGTAGCGTACATTATTTTCTACGGTTTTCTCAACGATTGTGACTGGTGTGACTAAATTTTTTTTTTTTTTGGCAACGAAGACCCATTTTATTGACTAAACGATTGGCAGCCCGTGGTTAGTCGTGGCGACTATCCAATCCGGAGCCGTAGAGCTTACATGGGTAAATATTAGGTTTTGAGCCTGTGCAGCCTTTGCAAGCAAATCTGCATGGGCATTTAAAGAACGAGAGAGAAAAGATAAAGAAAATTTTGAAAAACTGTGACACATTGACGTGTATTCCTCGAGTTCTTATGTAAAGTTCGGTCCTTCCTCTTCACCTTCAATGAGCTTAACAAGTTGTAGGCAGTCTGTTTGCACATGGATATTTGACATGCCTTGATGCAGAAGCGATTTCATTGCCCAAAGTAGTACTTCGAACTCAGCATGAAGGGGAGACATCACCGGTTTTCCGGCAAAGGATCCCAAAAGTCGAATTGTTCTGTTCCGTCACAACATGAAGCCACCCCCAAAGAGTTCTTGTTTGTTGATCCACGAGGCATCGACTTGACAGTAGTCCTCTTCACCTAAGAGGGCTATGGGAGTTGGGTCTGATGCAGTCGCAGATGCTGCTGTTCTCTCCCTTGTCTTGCTCTCGGAGACAGCTATCCTCCAGCTTTGTTCCTCCTGTATTGCTAAATTGACCGAGTATTGAGGGGTAGTTTATATTCTGTTAAATACTTTTGCGTTTCGAGCTTTCCACAAATACCATAATATCCATAGGGCAATGCCGAAATTGGTTTCTTCCTTTGCCAAGCTATTGGCCTTTGTAAGTAGATAATGCATATTGGAGAATAGAGCATTACGCGGGAATGATTCCGGATGTTGAATAATTGGCGAGAGGGACCAGACTTGTCGAGCTACAGGGTATTGAAAGAAAAGGTGGTCAATCGTCTCATCCTCTGTTTCACAGCGGGGACAGAGTCTGTCATTTCCGCAGTGTCTGTCTGTTAATCTATCTTTTGTTGCAACATATCCTGCGAGAATTTGCCACATCAGGTGTTTGATTTTTCTTGAAGTTCTTACTTGCCACACTCTGTTTTTCAGGCCAGTTACGCTTGGTTCTAGCACTTCTCTGTCGTATCTTCCTTCCTCTGTAGTACAAGCGAGTTCATAGCCCGATTTAACCGAGTAGTTGCCCGAGTTGGTGTAAATCCAGCTGTATCCGTCTATCTCGAACTTACGCGTAAGCTTTAAGCTTAACCAGAGGGACGTCCGCAGGGGCTATCACCTCACGCAATTTCCTTTCGATCCAAGTTTTAGATTCAAAGTCAGTCAGGTGGTTAATGAAGAGATTTGGAACCTTATCGATAATATTCCCTTGTGCTGGCCTCGCCGGAGTATCCGAGATCCAAGGGTCTGTCCAGATTCTGGTATTGAAACCAAAGTTTATCTTTTTTCTTAGTCCCAAATGTAGGAGATGCTTAGCCGTCATTATACTGCGCCAGCCATATGAAGGAGAACTCGATTTCTCAACCTCTAGGGGAGTAGAGTACTTGTAATATCTTCCTTTCAAAACTCTTGCCAAGAGCGAGTTCGGGTAATGAATTAGATGCCAAAGCTGTTTAGCCAGAAGAGCTAAGTTGAAGTTTTTGAGGTCCCAAAAGCCGAGACCCCCTTTCTCTTGCGGGATACATATTTTTTCCCAAGCCATCCAGTGTAAGCCCCTCTTATCTGCTTTCGAGCTCCACCAAAATTTGGCGATTGCACTTCTCATCTTATTTATAACATCCTGAGGCAACAGGAAACATGACATCCCGTACGCCAGAATGGTTTGAGCAACCGATTTTAAAAGCACTTATTTGCCACCTTTGGACAAAAGCTTCAAAGACCACGAGTTCACGCAGTTATTTAGCCTCTCTTGTATATAAGCAAACACCTGTTTTTTACAACCGCAGATTCTTTCCGGGAGTCCCAGGTACATTCCCATCCCACCTTCTTTGGTGATTCCAATTGCTCTTTTTAAATCCAGCTTGTAGTCCGGTTTAACCTTGCTCCCGAAAAAGATTGAGGATTTAGAGAAATTTAGCTGTTGACCTGAAGCTTTACCATATAGATTGATGATTCTGAGCAGCTCTGCACATTGCAGGATATCCGCCTTACAGAAATGAGGCTGTCATTGGCGAACAAAATATGTGAGATTGGCGGGCTAGATTTGGCTATCTTGATACCTGTGATACGTCCCTCGTCTTCTGCCCCTCTTACTTGGCTAATCAGGCCTTCCATGAGGATTATGAAGAGGAAAGGAGAAAGCGGATCTCCTTGTCGTAGACCTCTTGAAGGTTTTATGTTGCCTCTGTGGTTTCCGTTGAGAAGGACCTGGTATGACACCGACGAAATACAGTTCATTATCCAGCCCACCCATTTGGGATCAAAACCCATCTTTAACATCAAAGCTTCCAGAAAATTCCATTCTACTCTATCGTACGCCTTGCTCATATCTGTTTTGATTGCCACGAACTTAGAGTTGCAAGAGGGATTGGTTCTAAGAGCATGGAATACTTTCTGGGCAATAAGAATATTATCGGTGATCAGCCGCTTTGCTACAAAAGTGGATTGGGTTTCAGAGATCAGTTTTGGGAGGATCTTCTTGAGCCGTTTGCAGAGTATCTTATATATAATCTTGTAACAAGCATTGCAAAGACTAATCGGCCAGAATTCCGT